CTTCATTCTTTATGTATTAGGTATCAAATTCTGTATTTTTTGTCTATCCCTTAATTGACTTTGGGTATAGTCAATATAATTTTGCATTTGCCTCACAATCAGCTGCTCCACCCTCCCTACCATGGTTTTACTACCTCTGGTGACAGCTATCCAACCCTAGGAACATTTCCATCTGTAGCAGTCCCTCCAAAAGAGATTGCAGAGATGGTTTTTGGGAGGTAAATTCTCTCAGCTTTTGCTTATCTGGAAATTGTTTAATTGCTCCTTCAAATTTAAATTGTAATCTTGCCAGATAAAGTAATCTTGGTTCCAGGCCCTTCTGCTTCATGGCATTAAATACATCATGTCACTCCCTTCTGGCCTATAAGGTTTCTGCTGAGAAGTCTGATGTTAGCCTGATGGGCTTTCCTTTGTATGTGATCTTATTTCTGCGTCTGGCTGCTTTTAACAGTTTGTCCTTATCCTTGATCTTTCCCATTTTAATTACTATATGTCTTGGTGTTTTCTTCCTTGGGTCCCTTGTGTTGGGAGATCTGTGGATCTCCATGGCCTGAGAGAATCTCCTTTCCCAGATTGGGGAAATTTTCAGCAACTACCTCCTCAAAGACACTTTCTATCCCTTTCTCTCTCTTCTTCTTCTTCTGGTATCCCTATGATGTGAATATTGTTCCACTTGGATTGGTCACACAGTTCTCTCAATATTCTTTCATTTTTAGAGATCCTTTTTTCTCTCTGTGCCTCAGATTCTTTGTATTCCTCTTCTCTAGTTTCTATTTCGTTTATTGTCTTCTCCACTGTATCCAACTGGCCTTTAATACCCTGCATTGTGCTCTTCATCGATTGGATCTCCGACCTGAATTCATTCCTGAGTTCTTGGATGTCTTTCCGTACCTCCATTAGAGTGTTGATGATTTTTATTTTGAACTCCCTTTCAGGAAGAGTCACGAGGTCCATATCATTTAACTCTTTCTCGGGAGTTGTATTAACAATTTTACTCTGGACAAGGTTCCTTTGGCGTTTCATGTTTGTATATGGCGCCCTCTAGTGTCCAGAAGCTCTATTCTGGAGCTGCTCAGCCCCTGAAGCAATGTCAGGGGTTGCAGGGGAGCAGTACTGGTGCCTGGAGGGAGGAAGAACTTTTCCCTGCCTCCCGGCTGCTGTGCCTGTCTCCACTGCCTGATCCAGTGGGCCGGTCACACAGGTATATGTTTTTGTTCCAGAGCAGGTGGATATGGATCCCTGCTTTCCACAAGTGGCCAGAATCCCAGTCTCCCCAGGAACTCTGCCTGTATTAACTTTCCAACCCGGTAGTCATGAGAGTCTCATGAAAGCACCATGAAATGTAGGTTTGTGCTCCCAGAGCAGATCTCCAGAGGTATGTATTCAGCAGTCCCAAGCCTTACACTCCCTCCCTGCTCGTTTCTTTTCCTCCCGCCGGTGAGCTGGGTGGGGGAGGGGCTCGGGTCCCATGGAGCCACAGCTCTCTTATGTTACCCTGTTCGCTGATGTCTGCTCTTTTCTCCAGGTGTGTGCAGTATGAGGCCGCCCTGTTGCCTGTTGCTCTCTCAGGATTAGTTGCGCCAATTAAATTTTCTAATTGTATCCAGTTTTAGGAGGAAGCGTCTGTCTCTTCTCTCATGCTGCCATCTTTAATCCCATCTGTCATTAGGAGTATTTTAACCTTTTTATTTGAACTAATTTTAGACATACAGAAAAGTTACAAAAATGGTAGAGTTCCTGTATACTCCTCACCTAGCTTCCTCTAATGTTAGCATTATACATAACCATAGTATGATGATCTAAACCAGGAAATTGACATCAGGTACAACACTATTAACTATACTGCAGATCTTATTTGAATTTTATCAGGTTTTCTACTAATGTCCTGTTCCAGGATCTTATCCAGGATCTCACATTGCATTTAGTTATAATTTTTCCTTAATTTCCTTTCATATGTAATGGTTCTTCAGTCTTTCCTTGTCTTCCATGATCTTTTCTGAGTGTTTTAAAGTAAGTCACAGGCATATCACTTCACCTTTTAACATTTCAGTATGTTTCTGTAACAGATAAAAACTCTCTTTCTTGTCTTTGTTATCATACATAGCAAAACTAATAATTTCTTAATATTGTCTAATTTCTGTTCATCTTCTTACAATTTTCTGAAAGAAAATAAATATGTGTTTTTACAGTTTTTCCAAGTCAGAATCAAAAGGTCAACAAATTGCCTTTGGTTAATAAGTCTTTTAAATCTCTCTTAATATATGTGTTCTCCTCTCTTAAGTGTAATTTATTTGTTTAAATCAGGCATTTGTCTTTGTAAAATTATCCACATTCTGTAAATGGCTGATTGTATCCTTGTGATATTTTTAGTATGTTCCTCAGAACTCTAAAGCTGTGTCTGTTTTGTTCTGGCTTGTGTAGTTTTGGGTTAGATGTCTTATCTATTTCTGTTCCTCTGAATGCAATGTCTTTTTTTCTCTAGCTGCCTTCAATATTTTCCTCTTTAATTTTGGTTTTCAGTACCTGGAATGTATCTAGGTTAGTGAATTTTGGTTTTGTTTTGTCTTTAGGTATTTATCTTGGTTAGGGTTCACTGAGCTTGAATCTGTCATTTAATGCCTCCCATTTTTGGAAAACTTTCAGCCACTACCTCACCAAATATTTCTTAAGATCCTTTATCTCTCTTCTGGGTCTCCAAGTATATACTTATTAGATCATTTAATATTGACCATTTAATAGCTCTTGGATGCACTATTCTGTTGTTTTATCCTTTTCTGGTTTTATTATATGAGTTTAAGGTGTACAACATGATTTGATATATATGTTTTTTTATTTTTTAACTCTTTTTGTTTGAGTTTGGGTAATTTTGATTGACCTATCACTAAAGTCTTTCTTTGGCTATGTTGAGTCTACTGACAAGGCTGTCAGAGACATTCTACATCTGTTACTCTATTCATTTATTTCTAGCATTAATTTGGTTTTTACAGTTTCCATCACTTTGCAGAAATTTCACCATCACTTGTGCTTATACCTTTTGTTGTAGAACCTTTAACATATTAATCATAATCATGTTAATTTTTTTGTTTCTGGTAATTCTACCATCTTGGTCATCTAAGAGTCTAGTTTTATTGATCACTTTGTCTCATCACAGTGGGTTTTGTGTGTGTGTACAACAGTGTGCACATGCTTTTGGGGAGGGGTAATTTGTTTACTGAGTGCTGTCCATCATGTATAGAACAGTAAAGACTGCCTGGAAATGGCACCTCTTTTCTTCTAAGTTGTCACTGTGGGGACTAAGTCAATTTAGTCTGAAGTTTAACTATGTTTGGGTTTTGTCCTTGCTGTGGGAACCTTCAATCATCAGTGCATCAACCAGTCATGCTTCAGATTGCTCTCTTATCATCTTAGGGTATAGGTTAGGTTGTTTCAGTTTTTTCCTTAAAAATACTTTTTCCTGTTCCATGCTCAGCTTTCTGCCTTCTCTTTGTCCTTGCACAAAATAGTGGGTCTCACCCCTCCACTAGCTGGATACTGCTGTTGCCTCTTACTCCATACTTGGTAGCCTGGTTGAGGAGACCTGGGGCGGGGGACTCTTTGTTGTCCTGGTTCAGCCTCAGCCTTAGGAAGACTACATGTCCCTGGGTCTCCTGGGTGGGACTCTCTCAGTAATCCTGTCTCTTCCCTAACTGAAGGAGACTATAATGGCCTCAGGATGTTTCCTACCCTTCCCCCAGGAATAGAGAGATTTGTCTTTTCTCTTTCCCCAGCCACAGTGGGTCTTATCTGTGCCCTGGAGATAACAGAGTCTGCTGATCTTCCTCCCTACAGGTTTAAGGCTCTTTTTCTGTAGGGGAGAAGGGTCAGAGTGGGGCTCTGTGCTTTTCTCAGGAGTGGTAGCTACTCTCCTCACCCACACCTGGGCACAGTGGAAATCTCTTGAGAACCTGCAAGTGGGTGTGAACTCCCCTTGTGTGTGATTCTTCCAGGGGCTCTGTACTCATACTAGTCTGCATATGGCCTCTAGCAATTCATGTTAAACTTTAGCTGAATTCTTAAGCATCTTTGTGATGCCCAGTGTAATTGTAAAGTTTCAGAATACTCTCTTGTTGGCTACAGATGAGCCAGTGCTCATATCCCATCTCTTCATAGAAGCGCCTGTCTTTCCATAGATTTCATTCAGGTACCTGCTTGCCCTATAACCTCAGCTCTTTCACAGGTTCAAGGAAAGTTACAATTTTGTTGTTTATCGAACTTTTTCTCATTGTTCTGGTGGGAGGGATGCTCTTTCCAGCTTTCTACATCCTAATCAGAAGTCAAATTCCAGTGTTGTAAAGTTACTTGAAATAATAGTTGCTCTCTGTTTGGTTGTGTATTTGATTCAATATATATTACGTTCATTTGTTTCATTTTTCTTTCCGTTTTAGGGACTGATTTTAAATTTTAATTTTGTTTCATAATTATGTGAACTATATATAATTTGAAGTCATATATACAGAACAACATGTATTCAAAAAAAAGCCTAGCTTCTCTCCTTGTCTCCTCCACCTTATTCCTTCTTTTCCTCAATAAGAAGTCTTTTTAAAAAAAATTATAAGACTTATTACACATTTCTTATATTTAAAATACAACATTCAGATATGTGTATACCTGATCACCACATTTATCTCTGCATTTCCTTTTTATTTAACACTCTGTAATAGTTCTTTAAAGATATTCCCATTCCTTCTTACAGGTGCATAATACTCCATTATGTGAGCATACTACATTTTTTTAGCCAGCCCTCTGTTGATGGGCATTTGGGTTATTCTCAGGTTTTTGCTTTTACATATGGTGTTGTAATGAAGTACCTTGTGTATATGTCTTTTTGTATTTTTTTCACTTTGTTTTAGACTCCTAAAAGTGGCATTTCTGAGTCAGCAAATGATCCATATATAAATTTTCCAGATAACTGCTAGATTAATAGTCAATAGAGCTTAGCACTATTTTTGCATCCCCAGCAGCAGTGTGTTGGTGCTCTTTGAGTTTCACCTGCAGAGTATGCTGTCAAACTTGGATTTTTGCCAATAATAGGTAAAAAATTTCATTTCAAGTAGTTTTCATTTGTATTTCTCTTATTAAGAATATAATTGAGAAGTTGTTTTTCATAAATTCTTTGAACAATATTATTCCCCCTAAAGTTTCAGAATACTCTCTTGTATTTCATTTACCTACAACTGTTGGTCACTACATAATTATGCCCATTTGGCCAAAAATCATACAAGAAGGGATTGCTTCTGTTTTCTTAGGAATTTGAAGGTTCCTGAGTTTTAGTCGCCATACTTAAATTTGGCAAATGAATATAAAAGTTTAAAAGTTTGCAATCTTGCAATTCACTCTAGAAATGTAGTTTGATCTGTGATTCCAGGTAAGCTGGAAAAAAGAGTATATAGATCAAGATGTATTCTGCTATTTGCTTGTTCTTCTCCCTTTCTCCTTTAGGCTTCACATAGTGCTCTTTTTAGCCAGCAACAGCCACTAAGAGCTTCTGAAAGAGAACAAAGTGCACCAAAGTGTGGTTGTGCTAAGATGTGATTGCTGAAAGGTCACTTTTTAACAGCTCTGCAGTCTTGCTAGCTTATGTCATGTGAAGATATCATGCTTCAAAGACACCAAATATTTGAGGGCAAGAAAGTGTCTATGTCATTTACTTTATAATTTTTTCCATCATATGCCATCTCCTTGTTTAAATTAAAAGAAATAAGCATCTGAGAATTTTAGTTAACTACATTGTTTAATGTTTGGTGAGTTAACACCTTATTTTAAAAACTGTATAACCCCCTACAAAAAGATGTATTCCCTACTCTGTAGGAAAAGAGGATGTCTTTGAAGAATGCTACAGTTTATTACAGCCTTTAAATTATTTTTTCTAACTCTTCTCAGTTTGCAGGCCTTTCAGATATATCCATCTCACAAGACATCCCTGTGGAAGGAGAAATCACTATTCCCATGAGATCTCGCATTCGGGAATTTGACAGCTCTACTTTAAATGAATCTGTTCAGAATACCATCGTAAGTTAGAGTAGTTGAGAGAACTTCTCTTCAGTATCGTGGGTCTAAATAACTGGTGGCATTCTGTAATATTTTTGTTTGGTTCACTGATTTTCAATATACCTTATTTATCAAAATTGAAGATTCTTCCCTAGAGAATAACTTAGTACAGCTTTTTTGGAAAACAGTTTGGCTATAATAGGTATTAAGAATCTTAAAATGTCCAATCTTTTAAAGTTGATAATTCTGTTCCACATATAGTATAAGGAAAAAAATTTTTAAATACAAAAATATTTTTCAAACTACAGAAAAATACTGGTATGCAAAGATGTTCATTGCAGTATTTGTTATAATAGGGGAAAGTTGAACAGTAGAGGGGATATTGGTTAAGTAAATTAAATTACATTTATGTGGTAGAATGCTAAACAACTGCTAAAAGTCATGTTTCCAAAAAATATTAATGACAAGAAATTTCTGGGTGGAAAAATGAGGAGAGAATTAACTATATTTTAGAAGCTATATTTGTATTACTGTACCCTTCCTCAAATGTCTTGATTTTTTAAATCTGGCTTCTAGGATTCATTTAGTAGCTGAATTGGGAATGAGGGAAATTATTTTATATATTGTGAAGAAAGTGGTAGCTAGGGAGCAGGTAATTGCCCCTTGGGACCTCATTATGTATGAACTGAAAGTTAGAAGCTGAGTTTTTCAGAGCAGATTTTAGTAGTGCTCTTATTTTACTTTCTTTAAGTAACATTAGGAGGGCTGTATTTCCCTTTTGCAGAGTTTAAAAAATCAGAATAGAACTGGTGCATGTTGTAGAGAGTTAGATGATGTTGGCTTAAGGAGTTAATAGAAAAAGGAATTAATAAAATAACCTACCTCTGGTTGGTTTTACAATGAAGGAGTTAAACTGGAATTAAAGCTTTAATATTCAGAGAAGGGCTCCCAGAAGATTGAAATAAAAGAGATTTTAGCAAGTAAAATGATGGGGCTGCCTGGCAACCTTGGTTATCACAATACAAGTTATTTATGTCTTTCAGATGCGTGATCTAAAAGCTGTTGGGAAAAAATTCATGCATGTTTTGTATCCAAGGAAAAGCAATACACTTCTGAGAGACTGTAAGTATCTGAGGTTTCTGAGGATTTACTGCTTCTTACTGTCTTATCCTAAGTACTTTATAAGGCAGAGGCTCTGTGGTAATAAAGCTGACATCATTTTGCAGGATTAAAAATTATGTAAATGAATATGTAGATGAAATTTTGGAAGAAGTTAAAAATTTAGAATGGAATTTCAGAGATTGGAATATTTTGCTTAATATATTGTCCTCGTCAATAAATATAGACTGTTTAGCCTCACCTGCTATAATAGACACTGCAAAAAGTATTTCTGGAAGCTGCAGGCACTTTGTTCTGCCAAAGAGCTAATCATCTCCAAGGGAAAGGCAAGATGTTTAAATGTTAATTAGTAATAGCTAACACCCATTAAGGATCAACAAATTAATAGTACCTTTGTTAACATTTCCATTTTCAGAACTATCATTAGTCTGATGACTGCTTTCTTTGTTCACGAACTCTATCAAAACAATGTTTGCAATAAATTATGCTCTTATTTAGAATTTATCTGTAAAATTGTTAGGCCTTTTATTTTTCTTTTGTTTTCAAGCATTCCTGGTTTTCTTAGTATCCTATATCAGAAAAATTGAATCAGTTGTTTGAGAATAGTAACAGTGATGTGTGTGAGTCTACCTTCTATTTTGGCAGCATTTCAGCTGTAATATAGCAATGTCAAATATGTGGCAAATGTGCTTTCACTCAGTGTGGAGACCGATGCAATGTCAGAATCTCTTTCAACATAGTACACTGTTGGTCAGAGCTATCACATGATTTGTTACTGCTGGTATATAGTGGAAAGAGCATGAACAAATCTGGGTTTGAATAGTGGTTCCATCACTAGCTGTGTGATCTTGGACAAGACAATTAACTTTTCTGAGACTCAAATTTCTTCTTCTGTTAAAGTGGAAATAATAACATATACCTGCTAGTGACAATTAGAGATAATGCATATCAACTACCTCGCATAGCATCTGACATTTAGTAGGCACTCCATAAAAGGTAGCTCTTATTCTAGTGCCTTCCCCTCCCTGCTATACACATTATCTTTTTAAAACAACCTTCTTAAAGTAGGAGTTACTATTCTTATTTTACAGATGAAGAAAATGAGTTTCAGAGAAGCTGTGTCTTATCAAGATGACAGGGCAGGATTAGAACCCAACTTTCAAGTTTAGTGCCCTTTCCACTCCACCACTGCTATCCCAGATGTGAAGATATCCTTTCAACTGCTGCTGCAGCTCAGTTCAAGGCAAAATTGTTTCAGGCACAGTGCAGAACCAGTGTGTTAGTTTGCTGACTGATGATTAATATTAGCTATGTCAGATGTTACGGTCCATTCCCAAACCTTGTGGGGATAGACAAAGAGTGAGCAAGTCATGGTTAAAATGTGCACTTCTTCCGTCTGTTACAGCCTTTGGCAAAGTGGCAAGGACAAAAGTTCAGTACTTAAAAAGACAGTGAGATAATCAATTCATACCCCTTAGGATGGCTATTATCAAAGAAACAGAAAATAACAAGTGTTGGTGAGGATATATTGAAATTAGAACCCTTGTGCATTGCTGGTAGTAATGTGAAATGCTGAAGCAGTTATGGAAAACAACATAGTGATTCCTCAAAAAAATTAAGCATAGAATTACCATCCAGCAATCCATTTCTGGGTATATACTCAGTAGAATTGAAAGCAGGGACACAGCAGGTATTTGTACACCCAAATTCATAGCAGCATTAGTCACAATAGCCAAAAGCAGAAAACAACTCAAACATCCACTGATGGGTGGATGGAATAAAATATAACATTCATATACCATGATATATACCATATATGAATGGAATATTACTCAGCCTTAAAAAGGAATGAAATTCTGACACATGCTGCAACATGGATGAACCTTGAGGTCATTATGCTAAGTAAAATAAGCCAGACACAAAAGCATGAATATTATGTTAGTCCACTTATATTAGGTACCTAGAATGGTGAAATTGATTGATAGAGACAGAAAGTAAAGTGATGCCTGCCAGAGGCTGAGTGGAAACTGGGGAGTTACTGTTTAATGGGTTAGAATTTCAATCTGGGAAGATAAAAAAGTTCTGGAGATGGATGGTGGTAGTTGCACAACAATGAGTGTATTCAATGCCTGTGCACTTAAAGTGGCTGAAATGGTAAATATTGTTTTGTGTGTGTATCTTTTACTGCAATAAGGAAATTGTTTTAAAATGCTGTTATAGGCTTTTTACGAATTAAAAACATCAGAGCATTTTTAAAAGCCGGTTCAGTTTTTCAGTTGATAAGTTAAAAAATTTAACAAGAACAGCAGTAGTTTTATTTGAGTGGTAGGATTATGATTTTTTTACATCTTGTCTAAGCTATCCACAGTGGTGTCAAAATTACTTGTTTAAATTTTTAAAAACAATATTAGTATGCACATATGCATACTTTTTTTAGGTAAAGTTATGTACATGTGAGGTTAAAGTTAGAAAGTGGAATATGTACCTTTTTCATATTAATTGAAAAAGGCAATTGTACTCTTAAGGTGTATGTTTACTGAACTACTGGCATAGTAATCACCCTGCAGCTATTGATTGAGAACTACTATACTTAGTCCTGATGTTTACAGAGCTTTCTGTAGTTTTCAGAAAGCTTTCATGTTCTTAAAGGTTATGACATTACTAATATTGGGCTGTTTTTTCACCTAGAAGAACAGCAATTCCATACTTGTTCAGTGTGATAGTTATAAAAGGGAAGCAGTGTGGCAGAGTGGAAAGAACTCTGGAGTAGGAATCAGAAGACCTAGGTTCTGGTCCCACGTCTATGCCTAACTGTTTATATAAAATTGGGCAAGTCATTTTGTTCTCAGCTTCAGTTTCTGTATTTGTGAGATGAACCTAATTATACTTGTTTTGTCCAATGTAGTTTCACATTGGTTAAGTGACTCGGCTGTAGTCTTTCTGAAGGTGTGGGGCTGGACACCTAAGTCTTTTCTTGCCCATTGGTCTTTTAACTATGGCATGCTGGGATATGGTTCACTAGGTGGGAGAAGGGTGATTTGTGAAGTACGAAGTGAACAAACCTTAAAGGATATATTAGAAAGGACATTCCTAATTGGGGAACAGGGAGATCAGGTAGAGAAGTAGGAGACATGGGAATGCTTGGGCAGACAGAGAGAACCTTGATGTCTGAGTTCCAAGAGGAACATGTAGATATTGGAATAAATATAGAAAATACTACATGGCTGTTTGTTAACAATCTTCTGTCTTTTCTTGTTTTGTAGGGGATTTATGGGGCCCTTTGATTCTTTGTGTGACCCTTGCATTGTAAGTACTTATATTTCTTTTCTTTTTCATTTGAGATAGACTAGACTTTCTTTTTTTGGAGTTTCAAAATTGAGGGGAACTTTGATTGAGTATTTCATTTAGGATTTCTATTGCATACTATACACCTTATGTATTTAAATCTAAAAAGTCAAGTAGCTTTTCAGATCAAGTCAAAGAGTAATGGAATTAAAGATATTAAAATTATGCCCACTTCCATTTACCAATGACTGTGTAGCCATTTCTATTCAACAAACATTTACTTACTGTCATGCACCTCTCACGTATCATTAAACTGATATTACGTATCTCAAATAAACAGTGCTTAAAGCTATAGATAAATAGGATGAATAATCATGAGAATAAATTGGAATAGAAGTGGTAGAGTTCAAAGTAAGATCATGTTTTTTTTCCTCTTTTTATGTAAGTATCATTGATAAACAGTCGTATGAAGGTTTCACATAAACAACATTGTGGTTTCAACATTCACCCATATTATCAAGTCCTCACACTCCCATTGCAGTCATCAGTGTAGTAAGATGCTATAGAGTCAATATCATTCTTCTCTGTGCTATACTGCCTTCCCTGTGACCCTCTCCCACATTATGTATACTAATAATAATGCCCCTTAATCCCCTTATCCCTCCCTCTCCACCCACCCTCCCCACCCCCTTCCCTTTGGTAACCACTAGTCCCTGAGTCTGCTTGTGGTTTTGTTCCTTCAGTTTTGCTTTGTTGTTATATTCCATAAATGAGTGAAATCATTTGGTACTTGTCTTCCTTCACCTGACTTATTTTACTGAGTGTAATAGCCTCCAGCTCTATCCATGTTGTTGCAAATGGTAGGATTTCTCTTCTTTTTATGGCTGAATAATATTCCATTATATATATGTACCACATCTTTTTTGTCCCTCCATCTAAAGTAAGATAATGTTTTAAAGTGTTATACTTTTCATATGCATTGTATATAATGGGAGAGGACAGAAGGAAAGCAAAGTTCCATTGGAGAAGGGATATAACCATTGGTAGAGTGGAAAAAATACTGCAGTAGGATTTACTTCTGGGTTTTCATGCTGACTTGGCCTTCAGCAGTCTTTGGGCTACTAATAAACACAATTTGTATAATGATTTTTCCCAGTTTACAGAATACTTCCAAATACCTTCTCTTATTTTATCCTCAGAACAATAATTGAATATTATATGAATATGAATTTTCAAGGGAAATAATCCAGTGCCTTGATGGAAGCATTTATATAAGAAGCTCTGAGCATATACTATTTTAGTTTTGAAAGATTAATGTCAGAAATTATGTAATTTAACCTCACCTATTTTCAGAGATGAAACTGGAGTCCCAAGACATCAAGTGATTTGCTCAAGTTCATATATCTAGTGACAGAAGTAGCATCAGTATCTGGGCCTCCTGCCTTCTAGGCCAGTTAATGTTCTTTACATCATACCATGCTAAAGCAGTAGGGATTCCAGACAAGTGATGAGTGCTGGCATTCTTTGCATTGGATTGTCAGGACTCAGAATGGAGAATGCACAACCAGAGAGTACAAAACCCTGTGCTGACAAACAGTATAGCAAGGCAAGACTTAGTGTGTAATTCGGCAATTCTTGTATAATTTCCTTGTCACAGAATGCTTGAGAGAGGCTCTGTAGATAGCGAAAAAGATGAAGGGCCCCAGTTCGCAGAAGTGTTTGTCATTGTCTGGTTTGGTGCAGTTACCATCACCCTCAACTCAAAACTTCTTGGAGGAAACATGTGAGTATTATTAAAATGCATCCATTACCCTTTGCCAAGTAGCATTTCTTAGATTTTTTAAGACAATCTGGCTAGTTAGGTATTTTTTAAAAGAAAATTCAAAGGAGGGCCCAACAAAAGTTCTCTCAAAACCACTGAACAGAAATAACCTAGTTGAGTTATATTACCTTAAATTAACTGGGTTCCTTTTAAGCTTCAGGTGCTCTTTCCAGTCCCTGAAATCATAGGCAGGATTTTTTTGTGTTGGAAGAACATGTCCATTTTGGGGAACAGATGGTCTCTAGCTTTCAGCAAATTGTCAAATAGGTCTATAAACTAGAAAAGATTAAGAACCACCATCTTAGAGGTTCAGTGGGAGAAAGAAGTCTCTTGAAATTACAGTAGGTCACCTAGTATTCAAGGTGGTTGACTGTTAAGGAGTTTAAGAGAAGAGTAGAAAGAGTATGGGAAGAGAAAAATTAAAGCATGTGCTTAATCCAGAAGCCTATCCTTAATAAAGCCAATATTAGGGTATAGGTATTATATACCTGGAGGAAGGTAACAATCCATGATACATAAAATCTGTGTAATAAACTATCATGATACAAATCAACTATATTTATGATCTTTATGGATGTATGTTTTTTTTAGATCTTTTTTTCAGAGCCTCTGTGTGCTGGGTTACTGTATATTTCCCTTGACAGTGGCAATGCTGGTCTGCCGATTGGTACTTTTGGCCGAGCCAGGACCAATAAACTTCATGGTCCGGCTTTTTGTGGTGATTGTGATGTTTACCTGGTCTATAGTAGGTAAGAATATACTTATCTCTACAATAGAAGAGCAGACAAAAACATGACTTAGAGATGAAGACCAGATGAGGAACAAGGTAACTCCTAAGTCACATGTGAATGATATGATTCTTACCAGTGTCATCTGTAGAACCCTCTGTTGTCAGTCACCATTGATAGGGATGATGTCCATCTTATCTGAGTTGGGTATCTGGGCTTCTGTGATGTGAAGAGTCACATCTTTTTTTTTAATCATTAAATAATGTATAGGGTTGGGAAAGGAGAGGACACTGGATCTAGCTCAGTTCTGGCATGTTGGAGGCATAGATGACTTGGGCCTTTTTCTGACAAGTTAATCATAAAAATGATAGCTAGTGTTTACAGATTGCTTATTATAGGCCAAGCACTGTTGGAAATGCTATGTAGTATCTCATTTAATCCTCACAACAATGCTAATGAATAGAAACAATTATTATTACTCCCAGACACAGAGAGGTTAAGCAGTGTGCTGCAGGACATCTACTAGTGAATAGAGTAATCAAGTTTTAAACCCAAGCAGGTCACACACCTGTTTAGAACTATACTATTAGTATAGGTTGTTAAGGACCATTTTATAGTACTTTGATGCTACAGTAGAAAGTTCTGCTAAAGATTAGGAAGAACCTATGGCAGTGGCAATAAATGCTATGTGCTCATTGTTTCTACATTCCTAAAATTCTTTTAAAATTTCATCTTCAAGTAAAAGTGTTCACTAGCTCCTTATTTAATGGAATAGACAGACTGCTAATATTCTTAAGTGTAGTAATTTCTTTTCACTCTGGAACATGGTTAAGAACCAAGAGTTAATCCAAAAATAAGGTCTGAGAATGCCAGAATTGATATTCCAAAGACTGCATATTAATCTTGGGAAATTTACCCATGGGAGAGCCCCTCATCCCCTCACTTATTGTCTGATAATTTGCCATACATGTAGTTATAAATAACTTAGTTATCCAGCATCCAGACCCACAGCAGTTCAGAAAGCAGAATCTTAAAAGAAGAGAGAGAGGCTCCTATAAGCACTCATTTTTTAATTCAACAAATATGTATTAAGCACAAACTATGTGTCAGGCATTGTACTAGACATGGTCTGTGTCCTCAGTACACAGTCTAGTGGAGCAGCCAGGCGTATAAACACTTAAGGGTAGTAAGTCTTCCAGGTGGGAGGTAAGTGGACAGGATACCAGGTTGTCCAGGAAAGGGTGGACAAGACAGATGAAATGTAAAAGAGTTGATAAGAACAATTACTCAAAAAGCTCAGCAGTATGAGGCTTTTTGCCATAGCAGCAAATACTACACATCTTTGTAAGCCTCTTCGGCACAGTTCAACAGCTCAGAAAAAGCTAATAAACCCCTTTTAGAAAGGTTTCCATTTTAAATGGCTGAAAACTTTCAAACCTTTAGTGCTTAAGACAGCAGTTCTCAGCTGTCTGGAAAACTGTGCTGCAGAATGCCTTTTTCTCTGAGGATCATAAACATAACTGAACTTTTAGTATAATTCTGTTCTAGACTATGCCAAGCACATTAAAGTTAAGTAAATAGTTAGTAGTTGTGACAATCTCATTGTATTAAATATTCCTTTTTCTTTTGTTTTGTTTAGCCTCTACAGCTTTTCTTGCTGATAGTCAACCTCCAAACCGCAAAGCCCTTGCTGTTTATCCTGTTTTCTTGTTCTATTTTGTCATCAGTTGGATGATTCTCACCTTCACTCCTCAGTAAATCAGAAATGGAAATGGAAATTAAAGGCAGTGAATTGAATGTTCATCTAAAACATGCAATTCACCATGGAGGTTTGCCTCTAGCCCTCTTTTGTCTAATTTTGGAGGTATTTGGCAACTGGGAATGTGAGGGAGATTAAGAGGGAGCCATAAAAAATCATTGTCATTTATGTAAAGAACTGCTGTTTGAAAGGCCATCCTTTTCCTCTTAATGTTATTTCTTTAAAATACATATGAGTAGTACAGGCAGTTTAATGCCTCCTTATTAAGGCATGACAGGGTCACTGTGGTCCATTTGAGTGACAAGTGACTCAGGAAACACATGGATTCATCCTGCAAGTTGAATCAAGTTGTTAACTGTATTTTCAGTTTTGAGAATACCAGTTCAGGTGAAGATCTTGAACACATTGCCTTATGACTATTAGAATATGCCTCTCTTTTCATAAATACGAATGGATAGTCTGTATCCATTTTCTTTTTTCTCTCTTCAGCTTAAAAAGGCAATGACAGATTGGGAGGGGGATTCATAGATGTAGGAGAAGAAAGCATTCATTAACCAATATTCATATTTTAATCATAGAAAATGTTGCACTTGTTGCTTAAAAAAAGAAAGGACATCTAAGGAATCAACTTCTTTAGTTTTTCTGTATAGTCACCTTTCTGCCATGCTTAACGTCACCTCTGTAATACTCTTGTTTTGTTTTGTTTTTCTTTTATTGAAGTATAGTTGATATATATTATATTAGTTTCAGGTATACAATGTAGTAATTCTACAGTTATCTACATTATTAAATGCTCACCCCAGTATGTGTTATTACTGTCAACAAGCAAAGGTATTATAATATTACTGACTGTATTCCCTATGCTGTACTTTCATCCCCATAACTAATTTATATTATAGTTGGGATTTTGTGCTTTCTCCTTCACCTATTTTACCCACCCACCTCCCCCCTTTCCCTCCCTGATGAAAACTACCAGTCTCTTCTGTATGTCTATGAGTCTATTTCTGTCTTGTTCATTTTTATTTTTAGAGTCCACAGATAAGTGAAATCATAGGGTCTTTCTCTGCCTGGTTTTTATTTCACTTAGCATAATACCATCTAGGTCCATCCATATTGTTGCAAATGGCAGGATTTCATTCTTCTTTTATGGCTAAGTGATATTCCATTGTATATATGTACCAAATCTTCTTTACCCTTTCATCTTGATGGACACTTAGGTTACTTCCATATCTTGGTTATTAAATCTTACTCTGAATATGCAAGCTAAGATGCTAGCAGTCAACATGTAATTTTCTTGAGTTCTCAGTGGACCAGTGCTTGAACTTAACAAGTAGAAGACCTCAGAAATTTAGTTGGCCCCTAATGCATAAGCTTATGTGGGCACCTTCTCTTAAGGGTAGAATGAGGCAGTTTGGACATGTCATAGATATGAGGAATTCTTCATTATTCTATGTAGTATGGCTTCTAACTAGAGAGCAAAGCTAAATCAGAAGCCTGCATTTAACTATGGGAACATGGAGGGATTTAGTGTTCTAATGGCTGATTCACAGAACAACTAAGACACTTAGAGCATGACATAGGATGACTTGCGTTTCTAGCTGCTACCTTTCCATAATGGGCTTAGCAGTTTTTTCATAAGATGTGTTCTTTTGGGTCGGAGAATAGCAATTTATTTTCTTGGTTGTAGACTTTATTTGTAAATCTATTTAGCTCTCCTTTAGACAGGTACTTTTTTGCACATGTGCACCTACTTGGATTCTCACCTATTTATGCACACAAGTATGAAGGCTTTTCAGGGAGTTGAGTGTCTGGGACAGGCTGATTCTGAGCTAAACACGGCTCCTTTAAGGTAATAGAACCTTATGCCTTCTATAAATTGCACGTTGAGGAACTCTTAATAGACAAAGAATAGGAGCCAGGCAGAAAACACTCATTGTAAATAAAAGTTACTTATAAAGATAGGAATTTCTTATTCCACATTTTTTCTTTATCATAGAATTTAAATAATTATTCATTTTGTATTTAAAGACTACCTACACATAGATAAATAATTTTAAAAGAATATTTTCTCCATCCCAATATTAACCAAGTCAATAATACTAGGACAAATGGGTTCTTGGAATGATAGCAATTACAAAGCATTACCAAGTTGGTCCCTTCTGTCCCAGCTATGTCCAGTGTTTGTGGTTATATATTCGTATTTATTTCAGTTTCCCTGTCAAATTTTAAAATAAGCCCTGTGAGGACAAAGCCAATTTTTTAGTCTTGAATTGGTAATGAAAATATTTTGAAACTGATTCTAATTTTGAAATTGATCCTAAATATCATCCATTTCTATTGTCTGAAACATCTCTCTTACAAAGTTGTTTCATAATCTGTCCCAATGATTAAGATGTAAAATTCAAGAAATAGTCATGCTCCTCAAAAGGGAATTAAGACTTTACTGAATTTTACTCAGTTTGAATATTTAGTCAGAAATTCCTAAGGGCACAACTTTGTGGGGGTTTGTGTGTGTATGTATAGGAGGGGGTAATACATATTGGGTGTGAAGGCAGGTTATTCAGTGTATTAATCTGTTGCTCTTCGGTGACTTAAGACAGTGCTGTTATTTGATTTAAATGAAGATGACTAAAATGGAGATTTAATTACCTTTCTGAAAATGAGTGGTCATTTTTAGGGTATAAATAAAATTTTTCTTAATATATGCAAAACAGTGCATTGCTTTCTGTGACAGAAGACCTCATTATCTGAACGCTGTAACCTTCAGCACAGGTTTCTCTGATTTGCTGGACAGGCACATGGCTAATTATAGAAAACAGGACTAGAAGGGAAGGGACTCCAACAAAGGAAATCCTTTTCCAGGAATTGGGAAATTTCTTGCTTTAAATGAAATTCAAGCTGATGAGCATCATTGCAGAATGTGGGTCATCCCTGCCATCATTGCTTCTTACTCGCTGCTCCTACTTCTGAGACTGAAACTCTGTTGTCATATTCTTTAGCAATAGGAAAGGTAAAGACTAGATTTAATCATGGTTACAATTATACAAACTCAATCAATATGAATATAATTGAATGTACAGTGTATTCTTAAAAGTCAATCACTAATCATCAAGTCTTTGCCTCCTAATGCTTCCTAAGAGGCTCATTGCATAGGTTGATTTGGATCTTTGCATTGTGGTGGGGGTTTTCTGTTGTTGGACAAGTTGGGGTTGGTCACAGGACATGGGACTGGTAAACATTTTACTGTTTATTGTATTTGTCTTTTTATAAAATACACCCCAAAATGTGATTGGAAGGCTAGCAAGCCTGTATTTGAAGATTTCATTGTGTACTTTATATAATCTAACTACTTACTATATCGGGGTTTAACTGTTTATTCATGAAAATGAAAATCTCCAGTCATTTCAATTTCTTGGGTAACATCAAGTCATTGGAATGCATGAAGCTTACCAGGATATGATCAGATGTCCATTGCATGCAGCTGTTTTATTCCAGAGTAAAATACTGAAATTGTGATTCTTAATTACCTGTTAATTTATGAGACAGATTAGATAGAAATAAATGTGTGAATGTTAATCCATATATGTAAATTAGAAATACTTTTCTCCATTCTGTGGGCTTTTATTAAAAATAATTTCTAGGAATTGACTTAGGCCATAGGATGGCCAAATAATAATAATAATAATAATAATAATAATACTGATAATAGCTAACATTTATTGGGCACTTACTGTGTGCCAGGCATTATTATATTTTTAAGAATTTTTTTATAACAGCTTTATTTAGATACACCTTACCATAAAATTCACCCTTTTAAAGTGACATACAATTCAGTGATTTTTTTTTCAGTATATTCATGTAATTGTGCGGCTGTCACTGCTTTCTCATTTTAAAACATTTCATCACTCCACAAAGAACCCCATATCCATTAGCGGTTCACTCCCTTTCCCCCATCTCCCCAGTCCCTGGCAACCACCAGTCTGCTTTCTATCTCTCTTGGTTTGGACAGGCACTATTCTTAAGTGCTTTTCATGTGTCTCCTCAACATAAGTCCTCAGCATAAAGTGCTGAAATTCTCACTTTACATGTAGAAAATCAAGGCACAGAAAACTCAAGTAAATCGCCCAAAGTCTCACAGTATATTGATTTAAAATATGAAAATGCGTTAGATGAGAGCACAGTAGGGCACAGTTTGTACTGCATTGTTAGGCACATTAAATGAACACACCATCTACCCAGGGAATGTTCTTTTGTTATTAGCCATTACACTCAACAACTCTTTGTAGATAACTCTTTTTCTGAATAATAGAACATTGCATTAGCATCATCTGAGAAAAACACAAGAGCAGTTGTACATTGGGAAGAATTGGGTTTGCTGCCCTCACTCCTCCTTGAACCCCTCTTCTCTCCCTTCCCTTCCCACCACCACCACACATACCCCTTTTCTCAAAGTCTTAAGATCAAACAACTTCTTCCTCTGTCATTTTAACTCTCCCAGAGGGATAGTTAATGCGTCAAATTTAACTTGTCTATTCAGGTGTTTATACAGTCAAGGGATGCATCTGGTTGCTGATAGTACCAGCTATATTTCTAAGACCTCAGAGAGCAGTAGTGTGAGAGTAGAATGCTTTTTATGTGGGTTATACTAAGTGAGAGGAAGAAATTACGGAGTAAAGGCTTTGCCTTAATGAAGTCAGTGTTCCAGCCTGGTAGGAAGTGGCCACACACTGCTCTTGTTCACTCTGTTCTCTTTCATTCAGAACCTTTGTACTCTGTGCTATCATTGATGGTAATTTCTTGGTCCTCTTCAATATTCCATTTTAATCCTGATATTTTCCATAAATAATGAACCTGTGAAAAGAATAAACCTGTAGAATGATTTGCAAATGTTAAATGTGCAAATAAAACATACTGGAAAAGGAGAGTTTGTGTCTGCCCATTCTTATGCTGAGAGGCACAGAGATATTTACTGCATACTATTTTTGGATATACTGTATTACCATCAAACAATATTGAATGCTATGAAGGATTGCACAGGCAGCAAGTTAGAAAGGGACATTTACTGAGCAAATATATACCAGGTACTTGATTAGCTTCTTTATAAATAGCATCTCCTCCAATCACAGCAGCCTTTTAAGGTTGGTAATATTATCCTTATTTCAAAGTTGAGGAGCCTGGGAACTCAGGGAGGCTATAAATACATTGCCCAAAGTCACATAGTGAATAGTGCAACCAGGATTCAAACTCAGATTTCTCTGGTCTCTTTCCTATATCAGTTCCTTACCAAATTAAAATCATACCTACCCACTTAAATGAAGCTAAGCCAGATCAATCGCGCAGCTTAAAAGCATGTGAGATCTGGGTCTGCAGCCTTCTACTGGGAACTCTACCTGTTCTTGCTCTCAGGGTACTGTCAACTTGGAGAAACCACATTCCCCACCCACTACACACATAATAGTTGAAATACATCATGGCTCTGATTTTTCATACCACATAAAATGTCAGAGTGACCAGTAAGAGTAGGAGGAAGTTTTCAAAGTATTGGGAGTGTTGCTCCAGGAGAAGTGAGTTCCTTGCTTTGGGCAAGTTCACGATGATCACTGAGAACAAATAAAGACAAGGTCATATTGGGGTTGTTAAAAGGGATTTATACCATGTTTATTCTCACAGTGGTCACCCAGCTATGTACAAGCAGCAAAGATAGCCCAGTCTGTCCTTGCTCTGGCTCCGCTTCCTCCTGCTCCCTGGAACAGGCTTATTCCTCTCCTAGCACTGGGGCTCCATGGCTTCCCTTCACCAGCCTCTCTGTTCTCTCCTGGTTCTCTCTCTTGGCTTCCCTTCTCCATGCTCTCCTGTTCTCCATTCTCCCAGCTTCCCTGCCCCTAGCACTGGGAGGAACTCTGGGCAGGTCTCTATCGTGACTGATGGGCCCCTGACCAATTATGTCCCAGAAACTGAGGAGAGGAGAAAATGGGAGTTTCCTCTCCACCCCTCCCCTGGGCTGGTACTTCTGTGACTGACCAGCCACTTTGTGCCCAATAAACATCTAATAGATAGGCAAATAGGCTCTTTCAGGCCTACAGTGGGCAGTATTAAAGCCAGGTGAGTATTCTGGTCATAAATGTCCCGTTTTCTCTACACTCCTCCCCTCCAGGATTTTTACCTCACAATACCTCACAATCTATGTGCCTACAATCTTCTCCAATGGTCCCTATGCAAGAAAGCTGAAGCACTGTAACCAGATTAACAAAACCATGACAATCCTCAAGCCTGAGGAAATCACTTGTCACCAAGTGGTCATTCCAGCTGTATTCAAACAAGTCCTACTGAGATGAGTCCATGACACAGTTACCATGGGAGGCCAGCAGCTGAACTGGCAGGGCACTCCGTGCACACTCAGCAAGCAACAGCTTTTGCCTAGGGTGTGTGCCCAATCCACAAAGACTGTATAGGATATTGACCTTAAGGGAGATAAGACATGTTTTAATGATATCAACATAGGCAAATCTTGTCCATCAGGTAGGATGCATGCAAGAGAGTGGTCCTGTGATAGGACTGTGGCAGGAAGGGGCCTGTCCTGGTCTAGTATACCAAACCTTTATCCCTCTCCCTGTGTGGGTTACTGAGGGTTCTATATGTAGTGCTGCTGGAGGCACATGTACTGGTCACAATGATAAAACAGAACTCCCTGGTAAGGTGCTCTTAGTTTCTGGCTGTGTAGGGTACACTATTGTAATTTTGGGGGCCACTCTGCTTTTAATCCAGAAACACACAGGAGACTAGCTTCCAGGCTTTGTCACCAAGGTGCCAGAAGGGACAGCCATCATTGGCCCCTATGTCAAAACACCCAAGGTCACATCCACTGAACAGAGGCTGCAGGTTACTGTGGGACTCAGTGACACAATGCACTTCATCCAGGCTCACTGTCTTCTTCTAAGGTCACAGGTAGGCCCCACCAACAGGCTACAGACTACACTGTGTTCTTCTCCGAGGCAGACGGTCCTATCCAATGCATTTGGGTCAATGCGTCTGTTTCATCATTCCCTGGGGATGCCAATGGCAAATGACCAGCAAACTGCTGACAGAGACCCCAGCCACAGCCATCTTTAGTTACAAGAACATCTAGTTCACAGGACCTTGATGGGTCCATCACACTCAAGACCTGCACAGCCATGGTAGCAAAGGCAAATGCACATTTCATCCCAGCCCCACCTGCTGGCCTGTCGTACCAAATGGCATAAGGGCCTCAGAATTGGTGCCAAGTACAGGATAAACATTCTCCAGTAGTCTATAAGACCCAAAACCTCTTGCAATAATGCCGTATTTATCTGTAAGAGAATCAGAAGTAAGTATAACACCATACACAGTATCAGACACCCTATTCCCAATGGGATTTGGGCTTGCTTCTCTCTGACAACCCCACCCCTGCATTCATCTATAACAGTAGTGGTCTCGGGAAACTGCTCAGGGTTGCCGTAAATCAGAGAGCATTCAGCTCCTGTGTTCACCAGAGCTAGGATACTCTGCACATTCACTGCGAACCAATAAATTGATATTTCAACATGTGGCCTCAGGTCCCCAGCCAGTCCCCAAGGTGGGTGCCTTAACCTTCCCCTCAGTCAAACTGTAATGCCCAATTTTCTTTCTGTGAGGATACAGGTGGGGTCTGTGTACTCTCCAGCAGGATGTCCTGCAAACACACAGGCCAGACATGTGGCTTTGTCTCTGGCTTCCATTTCTTGGTCCTCAACATCCAGAACCACTGCTCCCTCTTCCATTGTTGCCACAGCTCTGATAATATCTTATTTGGCTTTCCATCCAATTTCTCTTTATCTGCTCCTGTCTTTATCAAATAAACCCACATCTGGATCCTCATAACCTTCATGATGCACTTTTCTCAGTAGCAGGTCACACTGTTTTCTACCCCCTCATTGCCTGTCTCCCAGGTCTGCAGTGTGAGTAACCCCATTTATGGGTTGCCCTAAGTGAGGGGCATGAATAGTCACTAGGGATGCAAAGAGGAACTGGGGAGCTGTTTGAGGCACCAGATTCCTCATCCCCGTTATAAACAACTCCTCATCCAGGTCCTGATGTTCTGGGTCATAAATGGCATTTTTCATGCCCAACTCTCATAACATGTTGGAGCTCAGCATACATCTGCCATCTAGTGGTGAAAGATGGCAAATCACCCTGATTAGGCCATACTGCCAGAAGGGCAGCCATAAACCAATCAAGAAGGAAGTGGTTTCCTGAGGTCTGATAGGAATTTTGTAATTGCTGTTGGAGGGTGGGGTGAGTCATCAGGGAAGTCAGCTTCTCCACTTCTAACACAGACAAAACAATTCCATCAACTGCTAAGTCCCAAAGACACAGAAGCCAAGTGAATATTGGCTTCTGCTGAAACCAGGAGCCTAATTCCACCAGCTCTGGTTGAGTATAGCGGTGGAATATGCAGTGCTCCGTAACCTGGGGAGGGGGCTACATTTCTTGAGGAGCCCACTATTGTTGTGTCTTTACTTTCTTAACTACAACTGGGCAGGCTTTCAATAGGAGAGGGGCTGGTATCTCCAGCACCAGCAGTGGCACTGCCCTCAGCACCACCCTCTCGTCCTTCCTCAGTTTCCCCTAGTCTAATGTCTCTTCTACCATTTCTGGAGCTGAAGGCACCACTACTTGCCTCACCTCCCCCATGGCATCTCACAGCCTGCATACTCCTGTTATCCCTTCCTGTGTTTCTGTCATATCCTTCACCTCCTTTACTGTGGATTGCAACAAAGCTATCCCAGTCTTTGGCAACTTTCTTTCCTCCCTCATAGCATCCTGTAGCTCATATTCTCATGTGGCCACTTCTCCCATGAACACATTTCTCTCATCTGTAATGTTTTTCAACACTGTAAGAAACAGCTAACCCACTTTTCTGGCCACTTCATGGGCACTCATTTCTCTAAGGAATCCCCTGTTTTGTGGAGGACCAACTCTACTGCCTCAGGCATCATGACTGCCAGCAGTCCTGGGGAGGAGCCCAATCCTCCAGGAGGAAATCCAGCCCAGACCACACCCCCATTGGGGGATACCCAGGTGTCTCCCCATCCCTAGGGGCAGCTTGCTGAAGCACCCCTCCCATTTGGGCAGTTTTTTGGTCTCAATGAATCCTGATGACTATGCCAAAAATGTTGCTCCAGGAGGAGGGAGTTCCCTGCTCCAGGCAAGTTCACTATGAGTTCTCTGAGACCGAATAAAGACAAGGGCAAGTTGGGGGTGTTAAAAGGGGTTCATACTATGTTTATTCTTATTGCAATCACCCTTCTATGTACAAGCAGCAAAAACAGCCCAGTCTCTCGTGGCTCCAGCACTGCTCCCTGGCAGGTGCTTGATCCTCTTCTAGCACTGGGGCTTCACAGCTTCCCTCCACCAGCCTCTGTTCTCTCCTGGTTCTCCTTCTAGGCTTCCCTTCACCATCTCCTGTTCTCTGCTTCCCAACCCCTAGCACCAGGAGGAACTCTGTGGGTGGGTTTCTATCATGACTGGCAGATGCCCAACCAATTACATGCCAGGAACTGAGGAGAGGAGAATGGGTGTTTCCTCTCTACCCCTCCCCTGGGCTGGTACTCCCGCAACTGACCAACTGCTCTGTTTCCAGTGAACATCCCATAGATTTGCAAACAAGCTCTTTCAGGTCTACAGTGGGTGATATAAAGCCAGGTAAGTATCCTGGGGAGGATGGGTGGGATGGGAGGGATAAGGGGGAGGGGAAGAAAGGGGACATTACGATTAGCGTGTATAATGTGGGGGGAGGCACAGGGAGGGCTGTACAGCACAGAGAAGACAAGTAGTGATTCTACAGCATCTTACTACGCTGATGGACAGTGACTGTAATGCGGGCTGTGGGGGGGACTTGGTGAAGGGGGGAACCTAGTAAACA